GCGTTGCGTGGGCACGTTCCTCCTGGGCCCACGGGCCTGGCCGAGGGAGGGCGGCGGGAGCTGGGGCACTGCAGGGCTCTCACTGCTGGTGTGTCTGCACGTGCACACGCCTGTGCCCGAGGCATCTCTCTTTGTGTACTTGTCGTCACCAAATGAAGATACTGCATTACCTTATGCATGTTGAATTGATGCACCTAAATTGGCTGGATGTTCTTAAGCCCCGAGGCTGCAACGTGATTTTGTCTCTTTTGCCCATTCCTTTTTCTTTTCTTTTTTTGCAGAATAAGTCGTCTGTTTAATGGCACAGAGCCCATTGTCTTGGACAGTTTGAAACAACATTATTTCATTGATCGAGATGGGGAAATTTTCAGATATATATTAAGCTTCCTAAGGACGTCTAAGCTACTGCTCCCAGATGACTTTAAGGTAAGGAAAGCTATAGTCTGCAGTCTGTTTCTTCCTCCCGTTCTGTCAGTTGTTTTGGTGTGGGTTGGTTTGTGTGCTTGACCTAAACACACTTAACAAAATGTTGCTGTTTATTGTTAGGATTTTTAGTACTCGTGTATTACACCAGGGATGCTGTTATTTAATAAATGGACCAATGGTTGTCATGGATACCATAAAAGTTAAACAATGAAGCTTATGGCTAAATCAGTTTTTCTAAACTAATTGTATTTTCTCACATTTTGACCTTATTTATCAGGGTATAACAGCAATTAAGAAGCAACTAGCACTTGCCAGGTTTTAACGTTCAGAATCTGAAAGAAATGTTTTACATTTGATACTTAGAGGACTTGAACTGTATAAATCTTTTTCTTATTGGTATAAAAAGAAACACCCTTAAACAAGGCTGAGGATTTGTCTTAGATATAACCAATGCAGATACTTTGATTTCAGAAAGTAATCTGCTCACAGTTTATCAGTGTCAAAATACTGGGAGATGAAGTGACTGAGGGATTTTGGAGGAGCAGTACATGTTTTCTATGGCATAATGTTGCTGGTTGGTGCTTTGCAGCCTCTGATTGTTTAAAGGCTCTGCTTGGCTTTGCACTTGCAAAACTTCAACATTGTCACCCTTATGGATGAAAATTAGAAGACAAAAGTGTCCAAACTGTAGATGACAAGATTCAACAAAAGCACTTAGTGCAGGATGAAATGATGAATAAATTGGGATGGCAGATGGGGATCTGCTCAGAGGATGCAGGGCATTGTTGGAAAGGAAGGCTCCTGCCCTCTTCCGTGCGATTTCGCTTTGTTGTGCTGGGTAGGCAAGATCTTTTGACCAGCTGTAACTGAGTCAGTCCAGAGTTGTGGTTGTGGTGGTGTCTCTAGCTTTGGAGTACAGCTGATACTTGTGCTGCAGTCTGCTCCTTGGCCATTCTTGCCTGAGTCATGAGGATAATCATGTTGGACCCCATCACAGAAGGGTTCACAGTTCATGTTGAGGGGTACACGGGGGTGATGGGAGCACAAATGTCATGCCAAGGCAGGGAGAAGTTTTGGCACTCATGGATGAATTTGGAGCTCCAGCACAGGAGGGCTGTCCTGGTTTTCCTGGCGAGCGGCAGGCAGGTCGGGGAGGCTGTCCTGAGGGCTGGGGCATGAGAGCCAGAGCTCTGAGGGCTAGATGCAAAAAAACTCTCTATGGAGAAATGAGAGAGAGCCTGTGGGTCACAGGGAAGCTAAAGACCAGACCAGTCCTGTGGGTTGTGAAGTGGTACAGGTGCCAGAGGGATGCTTTGGCAGCAGTGTGTGGGGCAAGATACGTGAGAAGAGAGGGTAGAAGAGATGCACTTTGGGCTGGTCATGGCCTCGACTGGCATCCAGATTTCAGAGGTGCTTGGGAGCAAAGCCAGCAGGATT